TGGGTAGAGTGCCATGGCTTCACTGCTCACAGCAACCTCCAACTCCTGGGCTCAAGCGAGTCTCCTGCCTTAGCCTCCTAAGTAGCTGGGACCACAGGCGCCTGCCACAGTGCCGGGCTATTTTTTGGTTGCAGCCATTATTGATGTTTGGCGGGTCTGGGCTGGATTCGAACCCACCACCTTAGGTGTATGTGGCTGGCGCCTTAGCTGCTTGAGCCACAGACGCCGAGCCAGTCTTGCTGTTTCTCAAGCTAGTCTTGAACTGCTGAGCTCAAGCAATCCACCCACCTCAGTCTCCCAGAGTGCTAAGATTATACGCATGAGCCACCTCACTTGACCATCTTAATCATTTTTAAATGTACAGTTTAGTGGTATCAAATACATCAGTAGTGTTGTACAACTATCCTTACCACCCATCTCCAAAACAGTTTTAATCATATAAAACTAAAACTATGCCCAGTAAACATTAGTAGACATAATTCTCCCTTTTTTCCAACCCCTGGTAACCCATCCTACTTTCTGTCTCTGATTTTTGACTACTGTGAGTACTACATATGAGTGGAATCATATAATATTTACTTTTTTGTGACTGTCTTATGATTTAGCGTAATGTCCCCAGGATTCATACATGTTGTAGCAGCATATTTTATAGTTTTCTTCCTCTTTAAGACTAATAGTCCATTATATGGATATATCACATTTTGCTTGCTCATTTGTTTTTAGTGAACACTTGAGTTACTTTCCTATTTTAGCTGTTGTGAATATTGCTTTTGTGAACATGGGTGTACAAATGTTTTTTATTGATTTTATGTTCACATTCCCAGGTCAGGTATATTGAAGGGCTTCGTGTAGATATCATTGGTGGTTTTTAACATTGTTTTGCCACAGAACTAACAGTATGGTGAGTGGGGTAAAAGAGCTTGCATATTTCCTTTCAGGTTTTGTCTTGACCTAAACATAGCATTGTTGTTCACCATGTGATGTGTTTCCTTTTCAGGCTCTTACAGCACTACTTTCCGATGATAGCAAGTTTGGATTCATTGTAATAGATGGTAGCGGTGCACTTTTTGGCACTCTCCAAGGAAACACAAGAGAAGTCTTACACAAATTCACTGTGGATCTCCCAAAGAAACACGGTAATATAGAAGGAGAATATGAGCACACTTGCTTTGTGTCTAGCAATAAAAAAAAAAATAGTATGATGCAGGGGAAGCAAAACCAGATGATGGGAGAGATGCACCCTGGGATGACTTATGACTCATTGGTTCTTATGGCTCTTTCTTGGCATCAAAATTATTAGTAGTCGGTCTCTGAAAAAAATTTGCAATTTGGCTCGGCGTAGCTCAACCGGCTAAGGCGCCAGCCACGTACACCTAAGGTGG